TTGTGATAACAGCAAGCCTCTCATAGCAAAAGAACCCCCTTAATAAATAGACTTACGAAGCAGATGTGATGCTAGGATACGTTGCCATAGCAAAGACAATCTATCAGTGTTCTCAGCAGAAATATGTATTCATCCATATACAGTAGTTCTTATGAGAAGCAATGTTATATCAGGAGTAGTATTCATTATCTTAATGGAGTATCAGCCACAGTACAGAACTGTAAAAGCTCCTTTCCGCCACAAAAATCTGATCCACTACTGTATGTAATGTTTATTGTAAAGAAAAAGAGACATTATGTTTGTCAGTTTAGAAAAGTTGTAACAAACTCAGTTGAACAAGTATTTTTACTTTGAAAGGAAAAAAAATCCCTGTTAAACTAATCTCATACTGCATTTTGACAGCTTTCAGTTACCAATGTAGTTGGAGTGGATACCATGTGAGTTACCATCTAAAACAGGCCCAGTGAGTTTATCAAAAAGAAAATTCATGTCTTCAGCACATAGAGTGAGTGAGCAGCGGGATGCTTTCTTTAAACTGGGTAATTGCATACAGGATTTCTGAAAATTGTGATTTTGATTAAAAATGGCATGACTCAGAAACACTTAACACTGTTGCGTTTTTCAGTGCAGATGATGCATGCATATGTAATTTAGACTGCAGAGTACATCTTTAAAATATTATCATAAAATGTTTGGAAAATAGTTTCTCTAACAAGTACTGTAGTATGTGTACAGTAGGTAGTAGGAACACCAGAGGCACATTTTGAAGGGTCGATGTTTTTAATGTCTGCAATGACCTTTAATCTAATCCATTTTCAAAGATTTTGGTATTTTGTTCTTAAATCCTAGTTATAAAATTGTACTGTACATTTAGAAATTAAAACAAAATTTCGGCACTTGATCCTAACATGCCAAAGCTAGTACTGTATGTCTCAGTAACTGATTCAATTCTGTAAGACTTTTATACATTGTGCTGCGTTTAATACTGAGCACTAAACTTCCTCTCAGTTTTAATAAATAATCAAGAAGGAATTGAATTTGAAAAATTGTTACTTTACTTAAATACAAAGTTAATTCATTGTCTTTTCCTCAGTATTTTCTTTAATCTTTTCTTTACCCAATTGGAACAGCAGTTAGCCAGGCTGAAAAAAGAGAACTTGGAAGCAGAAGCATACTGTAGGTGTTGTGAGAGGCCTTTTCTCATTCTAGACTTTCTTATGTTCTAGAGGAACAAGTACAGTAATAGGTTTATTCCATGCTGAAAAAAGAAGAAAAAA